TGTATTAAAAAATACCAAACTAAAAAAATTTATTTCAAGCAAATCCAAATTTCGGATTTATATAAAAAATAAAAAATTTAAAACATTTATTATATTTATTATTAATGACATCACATTATTTACTATAGGAATCACTCAATTTTTATCAGCCTAAATAGTTTAAAGTACCTTTATTAAAATTATCAAATTAATATACTCCTTAATGCCACATGAAAAACAATAAAAAACCAAAAAACCAAAAATTCAAAATAATCAATTTTATTTATTTTTTGAATTTTTATAAAGTTATAACAACAATGGTTTTAAAACGCATTTTGAATTACGTTAACAAATCATAGGTTTATAGATGCTTGTTATTTGACTGAAAACCTTATGTCCATCAAATAATCTGTAACAGATTAAAATCAACTAAATTGCTTTTTGGACATAATAGTTAAGTTAAGCAAGACTATCTATTTATTCAGGACAAGAATCTATTGGTCGTAAAAACCTCAAGACTCTAGGTAATATGTTGGTCAACCTATCACGGAAAGTTTCATCTTCAGTTTTGATCTCCTGTGGCATAGACTCAATAAATTCAATAAATTCGATTCTATCAACAAAAAATGGAATAATATGAAAAAGGTAATAGTCACCAAAGTATTAATGTTCACTTCAGCGATAGCCTGATCCACTTTAACGATAATTTCATCATCAGAATCTTGTTTACTATATGCTTCTCCAAATTGCTTTTTTAAATATTCCACGGCCGCAATGCGTAACGATACAGAAGTTGGCTTAATAGTTGAATCATCGGCCTCTTTTGGATTTTTATCATCGTCGATATCCATAGTCATATCTTCATCCGGAATGTGAGAATGGATTTGCCTTGTAACTATCAAAATTTAGATCATATTAAGTACATCCAAAGTACCAATAGTTTAAATATCAACACAATGCTAACGTCCACAGTTATTCTCACCTTTGACCGAAGCCGGGCTACTCTCGATGTTCAATAACACCGCTAGTACGGAATCGGCGATCTTGT